AATAAAACATTAAAAAAAAAAAATAGTTATCATACCATTATTTAAGATGTCAAACTTAGAAACCATCGAAATGCCCACAGTGAGAAAAAGTCAATGGAGTGTACTAGAGACACCCATCATAAAGGTGTGATAAAGGTGTGATGGTTAGGGGTGTGTCAACTTGCCTGGACCATGATTCTCAGTAGTTTGGCAATTATGCAATGATGACATTTTTCAGTTATTTAATGATGTAACCATCCTCACGATGTGATCTGAAGTGATCAGTCAATCCATTATAAGGGAGTTTCCTTAGGGGTGTGGCCTGCATTGAAAATACTATATAGACGTGCAGGCCAAGCTCCCTCGCTTACTATGGATCTTGCATCTGGCTCATCATCATCTGACTTCCAGTTCTCGGCTTCATCAGCCTCCACATCCTGTGAGTTGCCAGCTTGCCAACCGACCTGCCAATATTGTATTCATCAGTCCCTGCAGAGATTCAGATGTGTGCTCATTCCAGAGAAAAGTGGCCTAGTGGAATACAGAAATCAGTGAACAATACAATTAATATCCAATGTAAGTACAATTGTGCTGAAGATAGTTCCAAAATGGTTGCAACAGTACATAGACGGGAAACTGCCAGAAATTCAAGCTGATTCAGAAGAAGGAGTAGAAGGATGGATATCATTGCTGACATCAATCTTTCCTGAAAGCAGAGAATACCAGAATGATGTTTACTTGTGCTTTATTGACTACGCAAAAACATTCAACTGTGTGGATCATGACAAACTATGGGTAACATTGTGAAGAATGGGAATGCCAGAAGACTTCATTGTGCTTATGAGGAACCTGCACATAGACCAAGAGGCAGTCGTTCAAACAGAACAAAGGAACACTAAATGGTTTAAAAAGCAGGAAAGGTGTACTCTAGGGTTATTCCCTTGTGGGTTGTACCCGTTGGAAAAGATCCATATTTGTGAGTCAGGAGAAACCTCCAGCCTGACTCACAGATGGGACTTGTCAGCCTCTGCAACTGTGTAAGCTATTTCCTTGAGAACAGTCTATATATCTATGTTGTTGTTGTTGTTAAGTGCTATCGAGTCGGATCCGACCCATAGCGACCCTGTACAGGGTTTCCGAGGCTATAAATCTTTACGGGAGCAGAATGCCTCATCTTGCTCCTGCTGAGTGGCTGGTAGTTTCGTACTGCTGGCCTTAAAGTTAGCAGCCCGATTCGTAACCACTACGCTACCAGAGCTCCTTATGTATCTATAGAGATATAAAAATAAATATTTCTTGTTGTTATTAAGTGCCATTGAGTTAGTTCCACTCATAGAAACCTTGTTCAGGGTTTCAACCCTGTAGAGAACTTCTGAGGAGTGACGGGTGGGTGTGAACTGCCACCTTGCTGTTAGCACTTCAACACTTATCCTACACCAAGATACCGGAAATAAATATATATACATACATAGGTATGCATCTGGAGTTCTGGTGTGGTGCTGCAAGATAATGTACTGGACCACAAGGGTGGTTTGAACTTCAAGGTCAGTGGTTCAAGCCCACCAGCCACTCCTCATAAACCCTATACAAGTTTGCTATGAGTCAGAACCAACTCAACAACTTAACAACAACAACATATGTTGTTGTTGTTGGAGTTCTGGTGTGTATATATGGAGTTCTGGTGTGGCACTGTAAGGTAAGCACTGGACTGCTAAGCAGTTCAAACCCAACAGCTGCTCCTTGGAAACCCTATTCTCGGTTGCTATGAGTTGTTAAAACAATAACAACAACACACTCACGCACATACGTGTTGTGTATATAAGCATACACACACATATATACAGAGTCTTGGTGTGCTTCTGTAAGATAAGCACTGGACTGCTAGCCACAAATTTGGCAGTTCACATCCACCAGTCACTCTTTGGAAAGCCTATATAGGGTTGCTGGGAGTTGGAACTGACTCAACGGCACTTAACAACAACAACAACAACAACAATATCTATCTATCTATCTATCTATCTATCTATCTATCTATCTATCTATCTATCTATCTATCCAAAATTCACTGTTTTTGTTCTTCTAGGGAACCCAGTCAAAGACATTTGATATCAGGAGTGGGGTTAAATTTCTGCCCTCTAGCACACAAATTTCTTATCAGTAAAGTCTAGACTCATTCCACCAGGCAAAGAACCATGCTCAGCTGAGGTGCTTGCTGGAATGAGTGGTGGAAGAAATCGTCTATCTTAGTCATCTATTGCTGCTGTAACAGAACACCCACAGATAATATCAGACCACATCATGGGAGTGATTCTATCAGATCACATCTCATCTTGGAGGTGATTACTACATCTTAACTACTAACCCAATAAGAATCCTAACCCAGCCAAGTTGACACAAAAATTTAACTATCACAATAGCGCTACCACATGGCCAACTGCAGAAATTAAGACTACTCTGATCATTGTTATGAGTATTTCTTTATTATTATTATTATTATACACGAGCATATATATGCATATTCTGTCTGTTTGTCATACTGTGGTGGCTTGGAGTTGCTGTGATTCTGAAAGCATTCTGAAAGATCATGATGAATCGTGGCTGAAAGCAGAGAATATCAGAAAGATGTTTGCTTGTGCTTTATTGAGTATGCAAAGGCTTCTGATTGTGTAGATCATGACAAGCTATGGACAACATTGCAAAGTATGAGTATTCTGGAACATTTAATTGTGCTCATGAGGAATCTGTACCTGGACCAAGAAGCAGTTGTTCAAACAGAACATGGGAACACTAAATGGTTTAAAATTAAGAAAGGTGTGTGACAAGGTTATATTCTTTCACCATACTTATTCAACCTGTATGCTGAGCAAATAATATGAGAAGCTGGGTTATATGAAGAAAAACATGACATCAGGATTGGAGGAAGACTCATTAACAACCTGCGATAATCAGATGATACAACCTTGCTTGCTGAAAGTGAAGAGGACTTAAAACATTTACTGATCGTGATCAAAGAGCACAGCCTTTGGTATGGATTACATCTCAATGTAAAGAAAACAAAAATCCTCACCAGTGGACCAATAAACAACATTCTAATCAACGGAGAAAAGATTGAAGTTGTCAAGGACTTCATTCTTCTTGGATCAACTATCAACACTCATGGAAGCAACAGTCAAGAAATCAAATGACGTATTGCTTTAGGCAAATCTGCTGTACAAGACCTTTTTAAAGTGTTGAAGAGCAAAGATGTCAGCTTGAGGACTAAGGTGCGCCTGACCCAAGCCTTGGTATTTTCAATAACCTCATAAGCATGCAAAAGCTGGACAGTGAGTAAGGAAGACCATTGATGCCTTTGAGTTATGGTGTTGGAAGAGGATATTGAAAGTGCCATGGGCTGCCAAAAGAACCAATAGATCTGTTTTGGAAGAAGTGCAGCCAGAGTGCTCCTTGGAGGCCAAGATGGACAAACTTCGTCTATCATACTTTGGACATATTGTCAGGAGGGACCAGTCGCTGGAGAAGGATATTATGTTTGGTAAGGTGAAGGGTCAGAGAAAAAGAGGAAGACTCCCAATGAGATGGACTGGCCAAGTGGCAGCATCGATGGACTCAAGCGTGGCAATAGCAGTGAGGTTGGCCCAGGATTCTGCTGTGCATAAGGTTGCTATAAGTTGGTACGGACTCGATGGCACCTAACAACAACAACAACAACATATATGCATATGGCACTGTAGGATAAGCCCTGGACTGTTAGGTTGGTTTGAACTGCAAGGTCAGTGGTTCAAACTCACCAGCCGCTCTTCAGAAACCCTATACAGGGTCGCTATAAGTCAGAACCAACTTGATGACACTTAACAACAACAATATATGAGGATAAATCTCAAAGTATTGTCGTGAAATCATAGAAATTCTTATTAAGCAAAATAACAAATGTGAAGTGATTGTTTCTTAATATATCCACAATCTAGGTGTATATACTTCTGAATGTGGTCTTTCCATCTTTCTAACCCTTCCCAGAAGATTTTTGCACTCTAGTTTACATCACGTCAAAATGAGTTTTAGTTCTCTTGAGGAACTCAAATCATGATCTTTTTAAATATTGTTTTAGTTTGGGGCACAAAACGAAATCTGAAGGGGAAAGATCAGTGTTGTAGAGAGGATGGGGGTTAGGTTTCCCAACAAAATGGTCCCAGGACCATCCTTGATGCCCTTGAAGAATAAGCAAATTCGTCTTAATGACTGAAAACCAATCCTAGGTCCAACTTTCCCAGCCTTCTTTTCACCCAGGCAGTTTTCCATACTCTTAAACCTTCTTCATAATTAGCCCCTGCAATTATCTTGTGTCCTTCCAAAAAATCTATTCAGATCGGTGTTGTTTTGAGTAGGTTGTGACTCACAGTGACCCAGTAGATGGTTTCCAAGGAGCCACTGGTAAATTTGGACTGCCGACCTTGTATTTCAAACCAACCTTTCAATCCTGCACTTATCCTACAGTGCCACACCAGCAGTCAAATTAATGAAAAAAACCAGTCACCATGACTCTCTTATATCACATGACTTTCTTTCTTCAAGAACTGAGTGCTTATTGCCTTTAGACTTCCTGTCTTGTTGGACTTATCCTTTGCATTTTGCTTCTTCCTAATCCATTTTTGGTATGGCACTGTGGGTTAATGCACTAGACTGCAAAGTCAGTTTGAACAGCAAGGTAGGTGGTTCAAGCTCACCAGTACTCCTTGGAAACCCTATACTGGGTCCCTGTGGGTCGAAACCGACTTTATGGCACTCAACAACAATCTCTTTCTGGGATCCTGCTGTAGAATTAGCACTGAACTGTTAACCACAAGGTCAGTGGTTCAAACCCACCAGCTGCTCCTTGGAAATTATGTAGGGTCACTATGAGTCAGAACTGACTCAGTGGCACTTAACAACAACTAAAATCCCTTTATATGTTCCCTAGTCCAAAGTATTTACAACCAGAGCTTATTAATATTATTTATTTACTTATTTTAATGTTACATTTGTAGACAATGGGCCCTGCTTGGGATATAGAAAACCAAATCAGCCCTACAGATGGCTGTCCTACAAACAGGTAAGTCATGTCAATGGTATTGGAAAGATTCTTTTGCTAATGTGCTATTCTGAGCTTGTCTGATCTCTTTTGGGTCTTGGCTTCTTTGTGTTTTGTTTTTTCTTCTTCTATAGGTGTCTGATCGAGCAGAATACCTGGGATCCTGTCTGCTGCATCAAGGATATAAGTCCTCTTCAGACCAATTTGTTGGCATCTTTGCTCAGAATAGGCCAGAGGTAACCATGTTGAATTTAACTCAATGAGATTAGTCAGAGCTAAGTCTAAAGACTGTAAACTCATCCACAAGCCAGCACTCTGACATTGATGATTTACCATAACTACTTAAAAATCCCATGAAGCTGGTGTTCTTAAACATGAAAGGATTACATGTCAGGGCCTTAATTCGTGACAGAATGCCAGTGCTTTGAGTTAGGTATCTGCATTTCTCATTTCCCAACCCATCACTAACGGACCACTGATTGTCTACGTGATTGTAGAATGAGGACAAAAGCTCTAGCGAATAGGATTCTGAAGACACAGTATTAAAGTGGAACTTGCTTGTGGTACTTGAACTAGTCAACCAAGGTACCCAGTGCTACTGGCTGTAGTCACCTTTACACAATGAAAGCCATATTCTACACAATAAGATCATTAGAATTAAGCTTAGCTCCTCGTCAGTAGACTCAGTATCTTCTGGTGTGTTGGTTGGTTGTGTGCCGTGGAGTCAACTCCAACTCATAGAGACCCTGGATAGTCTTTCCAAGTTGGATAGCATATGTCCACTAGAATTAGGTTACTTAACACACCAGATCCGGAAGTCAATGACTCCTCTTTCAGGTGAATCGATATGCCTTGTCTTTGTTGTTCTGTCCATTCTCCTCAAGAAAAATATAGACTCGCCTCTAGTTTAGGAACTTAATACCAAACTTCAACTGACTCTCAAGGCCCAACACTAGCAGATTTGGACTCATGTTTTCAGTTCTATTTCCTGCCACTCTCCATGGTTCCTGGTGTACACAGAGTGATGTCGCGCTCTCCTATGTTCGTTCTCTTCCTTCATCCTTGAATTGTCTTTTCTGCCTCTAGCCCTAAAGCTACCAACCCTTCAAAGCCCTACCCAATTTCTATCACTTTTCTGAAAGCAGTCCCAGATAGCCTTTGCCCACCCTTGAAGGTGAGCTCTGCCTCCTTCAAACTCTGTACCTCTTATCACACTGTACTTTTGGATTCTATGCTACCTTTGTACTATGGTTATCATTGTGTCTGCTGTATCTCTCTTAGTTAACCCTGCATAAGATGTGATGCTGAAGGATAAGCACTGTACTGCTAACCACAAGGTCAGCAGTTCAAGCCAACTAGTTGCTCCTATGAAACCTTATACAGGGTCTCTATGATTTGGAACTGATTCGATGGCACTTAACAACAACAACTTTATAAACCTATGTTTGACGATCCCTCTGGCCTGCACAGTGATGTTTTTTATAAATAAAAATCACCAAACAGGCATTTGATGTTTCAATGGCTGAATGGATACCCTTCCTTTTTAAAGTGCCCTCCAGTCCTTATGTAAACTTCTGTCCATACAGTGGATCATCTCTGAGTTGGCCTGTTACACATACTCCATGGTAGCTGTCCCCTTATATGACACCTTGGGAGAAGAAGCCATCATATACATTGTCAACAAGGGTAAGACTTTGCAATTACAATACAAATTGATTCTTTCTCGATAATGAGTAAGTCTTCAATCTCTGCTTTTGTTAATAGATTCATTAGTGACCAGAAAATGCTGAAGGCTTTATTGCCCTGTAGTAATAAGGATATAACTAGTGCTAAAAGCAATTGCTAAAAGCCCATGAGGTTGAATATGCACAGATAGAAGTTTGAGTAAAATGCTTCAAGATAACATAGTATGACAGAATGTCTTAGAAGCAGAAATACATATGTTGGCCACACTAAGTATAAACCATATAGTGTTTAATTGATTCTGTCACTGTGAAGCCACAGACTTAATTCTCTACCCTTATGAATCCAAGTCAGTATGGTTAACCAGCATGTACCGATATCCATGTGAGCCTGTAGGAAGAATCTTATTACCAGAGTTAGTAAAATAAATCCAAGTTCAGTAGACAAGTCATGGCTTTTTCATATACTCAAGATGTTATTTTCTATCATGAAACTACATCCACTCCTCACTTACCAACGTAGTTAGTTTCCAAAGACCAGATCATTTTGTAAAAATCAGCATAAATAGAGGATGATCACGTCAGACCACAAAATAGAGGATAATTACCTCATTCCACAACTGTCCGAGCACATCATCGAATAACTGCCAAACTGCTGAGAGCCAGGACCTTGCCCTGTTGACACATCACCTTAACCATTATGGCCAGGATTGCTCTTGTTACCGGCATTCACTACTGCCGGATGTATGTTGTTAATGTACAAAAGTCGGAAGTAGATTATTACTATTGTCATATATGCAGATGGTGAGATCGCAAAATAGTTAATAATTGAGGGGTAGGTGTAATAGGGGTCCTGGTGTGACGCTTTAGGATAAGTACTGGACTGCTGACTACAAGGTTGGGAGTTCAAATCCATTCAGAAAACTTACACAGGTTCGATAGGAGTTGCAATTTGACAGCGCTTAACAAAAACAGTTGTAGTAGATAAAGTGAGTAGATCTATTGAATAATAACCACAACAAAAAGTTTTCTGTTTGTACAAATATATATCAAAGCAAATGCTGGCACTTAGAACCGGAAAAGGCTAGTCTTCTAAAATCCCAATTTCACACTCCCTAGTCCTCGGAAACCCTGTACAGGGTCGCTATGGGTCGGAACCGACTCGACGGCACATAACAACAACAACAGTCCTTTCCTGGTGTGGCGCTGTGGGCTAATGCGTCAGACTGCAAAGTTGTTTGAACTGTAAGGTCAGCGGTTCAAGCTCACCAGCTACTCCTTGGAAACCCTATTCAGGGTCGCTATGGGTTGGAATCGACTCGACAGCACTTAGAACAACAACGAGTCCTTTCTAGGACTCCTGGTGTGGTGTTGTGGGATAGCGCTCTGGAGTGGTTTGAACCGCAAGGTTGGGGCAGTTCAAGCTCACCAGCCTTTCCTCAGAAATCCTATACAGGGCTTCTATGAGTCGGAACCGACTCCACAGCACTTAATAACAACAATAATTCACTTCTCGGAGTCCTGGTGTGGTGTGTGGGATAGCGCTCTGGAGTGCATTGTTGGTTTGAACCGCAAGGTTGGGGCAGTTCAAGCTCACCAGCCTTTCCTCAGAAATCCTATACAGGGCTGCTATGAGTCGGAACCGACTCCACAGCACTTAATAACAACAATAATTCACTTCTCGGAGTCCTGGTGTGGTGTTGCAGGATAATGCACTGGATCACAAGGTCAGTTTGAACCACAAGGTCGGCAGTTCAAACCCACCAGCTGCTCCTTAGAAACCCTATTATGGGTCAGAACCGACTTGATGGCACTTAACAACAACAACAACAACCCCTTCTAAGGGATTGATAGTTGAAAAGTAAGGCCTTAGTGATAGAAATGATGCTGGAGATCACATGATACAATTTTGCATGACCAACAACTTATTCATTGCAAAGAAATACCCTTTTTAAAACAACATAAACAGTGACTATAGACAAGGAATTCACCATATGAACTATACAGGAATCAAACTGATTACTTAAGTGGGAAAAGACGTGGAAAATCATAGTATCATCAGCCAAAGCAAGGCCTGGGGCAGACTGCAACAGACCATCGACTGCTCCTATGCAAGTTCAAGTTGAAGCTAAAGAAAATTACAACAAGTGCACAAGAGCTGAAATATGACCTTGAATACATCCCACCTGAATTTAGAGACCATCTCAAGAGCAGATTTGATGCATTAGACACGAGTGATCAAAGACCAGAGAGCTGTGCATGACATCAAGAACATCATAAAGGAAGAAAGTGAAACAGACAGGAAAGAAAGAAAAGGCCAAAATGGATGCCAGAAGAAATTCTGAAACTTGTTCTCCAGCATAGAGATGCTACGGCGAATAGAAGAAATGAGGAATTCAAAGAGCTGAACAGAACATGTCAAAGGGCAACTTGAGAAGACCAAACAAGTCAAGTATTAAAATGAAATGATGAAGACCTGGAATTAGAAAACCAAAAGGAAAGAATACACTCAGCATTTCTGAAGCTGAAAAATCTTAAGGAAAACTCCAATTCCAGTCTTTCAATATTGAAGTATTCTATGGGCAAAATATTGAATGTTGCAGGAAGTATCAAAAGAAGATGGAAGGAATACATAGAATCACTGTACCAAATGTTCAACCTTTTCAAGAGGCAGCATATGATTAAGAAACAATGTCCCTGAGGAAGGACATCATGCTTGCTACAGTGTAGGATCAGACAAAAAGAAGACTCCCAAAGACAAGGAACAAGACAGCAACAATGAGTTCAAGTGTAACAACAATTGTGAGGATGGTGCAGGACCGGACAGCGTTGTCCTGTTGTGCGTGGGTCAATATGAGTCGGAACTGACTTGAGGGCACCTAACAAAAACATCCCCTTCCAGAAAGAAAACATGCTGACAAAACCACAATTAAGCAATCTTTGCATGTCTAAATGACTGTTCATTATACAGCATGAAAGAAAATGGCACTACTGTTTCCATTAAGTTTGTTCATTACCAATGGCATGTTTTAGGCTGTACATTATAAATCGAATCTGCAGACGTAATCTCTTTTGGTGACTGATTCTTTTGAAATTGAAAAAGAAAACTCTCTTCCCCCTTGCCAGGCAATTGGGTACATGGCAGAGAGGTGGGCATAGAAGGTAACCTCTGGTTCTACTTCTGCTTTCAGCTGATATTGCCACAGTGATCTGTGATACGCCCCAAAAGGCATCAGGCCTATTAAACAATGTGGAGAAGGGCCGTATCCCACATCTGAAGATGATCATCCTCATGGATCCCTTTGAAGATGATCTGAAGCAAAGAGGGAAGAATAGCGGAATTGAAATCTTATCCCTGTCTGATGCTGAGGTATGGGGCTGAGCTTGCAGCTCAGAGGATGGTCTGACACCATGGGAAGCTTGCAGAACTCACACACAGACCCAGAGCTGGTGTTCCCAGTGGTGTCATGAGACAAATCAATCAGATTCATACTCTGAAGCCTTGAGAGTAGTTTATTCAAGGCCAGGTCAGTGTGTTAAAAGATGTGACGCTGCCACACCCAGATTTATAAGTAAATAATTTATTGATGGAGACAGTCACATTCAGTAGTAATTAAGGATGTGGGCTTTGGAGCCAGTATTCTCAATCTCAAGGGATGTATTTGTCATAAGCCCACTTTAATTCATGCCTTCTTTCTTGCTTCTCTGTTTGTGTAGAATCTAGGCAAAGAGAACTTCAGAAAGCCTGTGGTAAGTTTTCTTGGTGTACATTTGAGTCTTGTCATATTCGGCTCACAAGTTCATAATTTACTAAGTGCTTTCCTTCTTCTGTCAGCCTCCTAAACCAGAAGACCTGAGTGTCATCTGCTTCACCAGTGGAACCACAGGTCAGTGCAGTGCCCAGGAAGATGTCCCAGTGGCCCTTGGTCAGCCAGAAACATGTCTTGCATCCCAAATCATTGGTGTACTAGTAAATATACCCTACAATGAACAGCTCTAGCTTTAGTGACTTTTTTTCCTTTTTTTTGATGTCTTATTGTGAATTATGTGATAGTTTACATGGGAGAACATTAGCTTAACATTCATCCTATCATATATCATTTCATTGCCATGGTTACAATCCCCTCCATGCATCATCAACCAACCAAAGGGTATACCCTGCAAGCCTGCCCCCTAGTCATCAGGACACAGCCCCTCTCCCTCTCTGGGTCTAGAGTCCCCAACCACTCCGTCTCTCCACGTGCTTCAGAGGCTTTTGAATGTGGATATCCAAATAGGAAAACCTAAATATAAGTAAATAAATGGAGGTGTTTATATGCAATGGAAGTAAGAAGTCCTAAAGATGGACTTCTGGTGTGGTGCTGTGGATCAGCACTGGACTGTGACCCACAAAGTTGTCAGTTCAAAACCACCAGCTGCTCAAAGATGGCCTCAGAAAGTCAACTTTCTTCTCCAACCCACTACTTTCTCTCTGAAGTGTATATCATTTATTGTTTCATTTAATCATGAGAACCCAGAGAGAGAGGGTAGATCAATCTCCACAGATCACTGAGACCCTACTCTGTGTTGTTGTTGTTAAGTGCCATCAAGTCGGTTCTGATTCATAGCAACCCTGTATAGGGTTTCCAAGGAGCAGCTGGTGGGTTTGAACAGCCAATCTTGTGGTCCGCAGTCCAGAGCTGATCCTACAGAGCCATACCAGGAGCTCTACTCTTTAGTTACCCATTTATTAGACCTCAAAATAATTTTTAATGTGGCCCATGATGACCTACAGTAATATTCATTCCATTCTGCTCAGCTTATAAGGTGATAACTAGGTAATACTTGCTGAATCTGAAGTCTCCAAATGAACACAGCACAAGGAGTTTGCTTGGATTTTTCTTTGTGACTGCCTTGGATGATAATAGAAGGATAGAATAGTAGAATCCCTGAGAGCCATAAATCATTGATGAATAGTCAAACACCATTCATAAAAACACCTGGTTACAGAAGAAGTCTGTGGTGTTCTGTAATGGAGCAAATTAAACCTAGCCAGAGGCAAGCTTGCAGCTCTGTTAGAATTGTTCTGTTTCTTCTTTCATCTAGGTGACCCCAAAGGAGCCATGCTGACCCATGAAAATGTTGTTGCAAATGCTGCCTCCTTTCTGTATCGTGTAGAGGTCAGTGGTCAGCTGAAAGAAAACATGAATCTGTTTAAAACATTTCATACCTGAGGCTAGAGGAAGAGCGGTAAAATGAACAGGTTAAATTTGGCCTGCAGGGTGGACCGATGTCGTGCAGTCTTTGTTGGGGGGACTGTGCATTTTCAAGTCTTAGCACTTTAAGATAATTGAAAATGTCTACAATCCATGCAGTTAAAGGCATCTATTAGCATCATACACTGTACTACCTGCATAACACTATGTAGCCGGCCTCAGAAGTGGTCATTTAAAATTTTCCTTAGGATGAGAATGTCAACATTAATCCAATTAACATTGTCTCTTCTTTGCTCCTTGATGTTTAGGATACTTTTTTACCCAGCCCTGAAGATGTGAGCATCTCCTACCTTCCACTGGCTCATATGTTTGAGAGGGTTGTGCAGGTGAGCATCCTATGTTCTTAGCAGATATGTATAAAGGGAGGTCCCAGCTTCCTGGTCTCATGTTTATTACAAAGGCAGCTACACAGCACTTACAGCTTCTTTCTGTAACGGCAGGGAGCTGGTACACCTGAGCCCTAACTCTGCATACTCTTCTAACTTGCAACAGAGTTTCCTTTGACAAAGCCCAGGCATGTCAAACAGGGCTAATTCTTGCTCCTATTTCTGCATAGTGCACCACCTGCAAGTCCAGTGAAATCATCTATGAACTTTCTAAAAAAAAAACAAAACCAAAATCAAACCTATCCAAATTGGTTCCAACTCATGAAAATCCCATATGTTACAGAATGGTAGTGGTAGTGTGCCGCGGAGTCGGTTCTGACTCATCGAGACCCTGTATAGGGTTTCCATGGCTATACCAGAGCAGAAAGCCTCATCTTTCTTCTGCAGAGCAGCTGGTAGTTTCAAACAGCTAGCCTGACTGCTAACCTAAAGGCTAACAGTTTGAAACCACTGTGCTACCAGAGCTCCTTGTATTATAAAATGTTGTTAAGTGCTGCCGAGTTGATTTCTACCCATGGTGACCCTGTGTAAGATTTCCAAGGAGCAGTTGGTGAGCTTGAACCATCGACCTTGCAGTTCAAACCCATTTTGCAGTCCAGCACATTAACCCACAGTGCCACACCACGGCTCCATAGTACAGAATAAAACGCCATGTATTACAGAATAGGATTTTCTTGACGGTAATCTTCATGGAAGCAGATTGTCAGACATCTCTACCACAACACCCCTGAGTGGGTTGGAACTGACAACCTTTACATTAGAGGCCAAGAGCAAACCATATGTGCCACCTAGCAGCCTGTGTGAACTTACTATCCACACTGTCATTCTGATCTGACTGTGACACATGATTTCTTCTATTTAATTTTATTTTGAATAGAATTTTTGAAAAAAATCTAAGGTCAAGAAAAGAAAATATCCTACAGAGGGGTAGGGAACTAGCTTATCACTCAGGTGTGGGGTGGGGTGTCCACCAAGGGCATCTTTGCACCACACCTGAGAGCTGGAAATTGGGGTGGTTTAGGATCTTGTGTGCATCAGAAGTGAGTTACCCTTCTTGTGGAACTCAGGCCTTTCTGACTATTGTGAGGCTGATTTCAGAACTGAGAACAGTGTTGGCCTTTCAAAAACACAAGTGGTATCTTCTGAAAGTCCTGTCTCTGCTGCCCCCAAATACCTTTTCAACCAGTTTATATGTTGATACATGAAATACCAGAATGACCTCCAATTGCCTGGGAGAAAGTGCTGATAACTGATTAGTAAAACCTTGATTCCAATAAGCATCCCCCCCCACACACACACACATTTTAACGTTTCTGAAATTGGCATGGTCTCACCATTAAAGGCATGCCCTAGTTTACTGGGGAATGTTTGTGTCATACTACTACATAATGAACAGCATCTTACAATGCAATAATTAGACCGTCATCCAGAACCATGGGTTCCAAGTCTCACCATCTGGCTTCTTGCCTGTTCTGTTGCCTCAACAGAAAAGAGTTTCATCCTCTCCTGGGGCCAGGCTCTCAGTAGGCTGTGCAGAGGGAAGTGTCTGAGGACCTCAGTGGATGCCTTTAATCCAGCCCAAGACAGGTCCCACTCAAACACTCTGACGCTTTGGCTGAGTCCCCCTCTTGGCTTCTATTTTTAGACTGTCGTGTACTCTTGTGGAGCTAGAGTCGGGTTCTTCCAAGGAGACATCCGGTTGCTGCCTGATGACATGAAGACTCTGAAGCCCACAGTGTTTCCCACGGTGCCTCGACTGCTTAATCGGGTCTATGATAAGGTACTAAACTTGTTTCTGCTGGGCTCTGGCTCAGAGGTGAGGAATTATCTACAATTTGTTGTTAGATACATGTTGTTGTTGTTATGTGCCGTGGAGTTGGTTCTGACTCATAGCGCCCCTGTACAGGGTTTCCGAGGCTGTAAATCTTTATCGGAGCAGAAAGCCTCATCTTTCTCCCATGGAACAGCTGGTAGTTTTGAACTGCTGACTGTGAGGTTCGTAGCCTGATTCGTAACCACTACGCTACCAGAGCTCCTTAGGTTCATAGTGATCCTATATACAACAGAATGAAACACTGCCCGGTCCTGCTCCATACTCACAATTGTTCCATTTGAACCCATTGTTGCCTCCACTCTGTCAATCCATCTCATTGGAGGTCTTCCTCTTTTGTGCTGGCCCTCAACTTTACCAAGTATGATATCCTTCTCCAGAGACTGGTCCCTCCTGATAACATGTCCGAAGTCTGAGAGGCGAAGTCTTACCATCCTGGTCTCTAAGAAACATTCTGGCTATACTTCTTCTAAGACAGATTTGTTTGTTTTTTGTTAGTCCAACACTATAACTCGAATGTATTAATTCACAGCTTAGGGTTACCCAAAGGTTCTGAAGGAATCTGTATGCTAATAATGTTCTCCACGCTACTCCTTACTCCTGTAAGCATCAAGTTCAAGTCACAATACAAATACAGTCATGAAATTCCATAACAAATAAAGACCCTTTTCTTCTGGATAAGCTTCCTTAGACCTCCAATGAAGAAAAACTCAATTCAGAGACTAGAGGAATCCTTCAAAGTTAAGCTGACTTAATGGAGAGCTGTTATCTTGATTTTATAACACTTACTGGTTACTGGGAGCTCTGGTTTGGTGCGATAGGATAAGCACTCAATTGCAAGGTCAGTTTGAACCTCAACATTAGCAGTTCAAACTCACCAGCCACTCTTCAGCAATGCTATACAGGGTTGTTGCTATGGGTCAGAACCGACTCAAAAGCACTTAACAACAACAACAATTGGTTATTGGTCCTCTTCCTGAGGTGCCAGACCCCGTGTAAATGCTGCATATACCTTCTCTCATTTGATCCTCACCAAAGTGCAGGGAAGCGAACCAATGGATATTATCACTACAGATGAGGAAACTCAGCCTCAGAGGCTAAATAACTTACCCAGAGTCTTACCTAATAAAGGAGAGGTGGTTAGAATTAAATTATCCCACAGGACTTTTAGCTATCATTGATCACTACTCTATTTTCCAGTCTCCTCCCTCCCCTCAAAAAATATCCACTACCATCGAGTCAATTTCAAGTTCTAGTGACCCTACATAGGGTTTTCAAGACTGTAAATCTTTAGAGGATTTAAAGATAGCTTCATCTTTTTTCCATCGAGTGCCTGGTGGGTTTGAACTGCTTACCTGTGGTTTGCAGCCCAAAGCCTAATGATATTTCTAATTCTGTCATTTCTCTGGCTTGTATTAGCTGAGATACTGCCAAATGTTCTTTTTACCAGTCTTTGCTTGACTGGAGAAAGAAACATTTAGAACCTTTAGAGCTAGGATTTGAAAGGCAGCTACACAGCACTTACAGCTTCTTTCTGTAACGGCAGGGAGCTGGTACACCTGAGCCCTAACTCTGCATACTCTTCTAACTTGCAACAGAGTTTCCTTTGACAAAGTCCAGGCATATCAAACAGGGCTAATTCATCACCCAGTTTACATGTGAGGGCCACTTCTTATGAAGCTAGAATACAACATCTCTCGTTCACTAACTAGGAGACCTGACAGAGTGTTTCTACTTGGTTTCTAACTAAGAGGTCCTATCACCCTGCAGGTACAAAACGAAGCCAAGACACCCTTGAAGAAGTTTGTGCTGAACCTGGCTATTAACTATAAATTCAGTGAAGTGAAAAGGGGAATCATCAGGAAAGACAGTCTTTGGGACAAATTCGTCTTTAGAAAGATTCAGGTAGGTTGGGTGGGTCCTGGGCAGGATGATGCAAATGCCCAAGTGACTCACAGCCTCAGCCTGACTTACTTTTTCTCTTCGGTAGAGATTCTCTCTATCCCGAGAGACCTTCTGACTTTCTGTGCCCACTCACTTTCTAAGATCCCATTCTGATAACTTTGCCACGAAAGGGAATTGGTCAAAAAGTGGGAAACCTATTTTATTTCATTTAGGTTTTAACATTCTTTTTCATTCTCTTAGGTGTTTGGTTTCAAATGATTCTATGGAGATTATAAGTAATTTGAGAAGCCCAATAATATAAATCAGCTGAGGAAACTGCTTTTAACAAATGCAGGTTCTGGGCCCAGACATGGTGATGACAATTAATCTTTGAGGACAATTATTTTAAGTACTATTCTATAGTGTCGATCCCTTTTCTATGTGCTTTGTAAATGAACTGATTTAATTCTTGGAACACTTTTGGGCTAGGCATTTATACCCATTATCAGAGGTAGGTTTCAGCAGATCTTTTGTGTCTACTGGACAGGAAGGCCTGGGTGGAAATGTCCGTCTCATGGTCACAGGAGCTGCCCCCATCTCCTCGTCTGTCTTGACCTTCCTCCGGGCAGCATTGGGATGCCAGGTAAGTCCAGCAGTCACTCGCTCTGAAAATAGCTTCTTTCACTTTTGCACATGACAACTTGCTATTTAAATAAAAACCAGAACATAACTGAAAACTATCAAACAGAAAGTCATCCACAGTCTCGGAATCAGGAGAAGACATTTTTCTCGTCGCCTCTTTATGCATCTATGTATGGAAATTCTTACAGCAGCGAGATCAGTATTCTCAAACTCATATTAGTGTCCTGTCGGCGTTGCTCCTTGTCAAACGACAATTTAAATCATTTGAATGGTTTTCTAATGGTTTATTAGTTTAGAACATGGTTTACTGATTTAGAACATGCTTTATTAATTTAAAACATCTACTGGTGTGGTGCTGTAGGATCACCACAAGGTTGGCAGTTCAAACCTACCAGCCGCTCCATGAAAACCCTCTTCAAAGTCACCATGAGTCGGAGTCAACTTGGCGGCACAAACACCAGTCTCCTAAAGTCCTGTCCCTGAGTAGCACATATGAGTAAGCATTTAATTACTAACCAGAAGATTCCAAAAAAAACCTACGGAGCAGTTCTACTCTGCACACACAGGGTTGGTAATAACAGTCAGAACCGAGTCAGTGGCGACTTCCCATAACAAAACAACAGCAGTGTGATGTTATACCAGACAACCTAACAATGTTAAAATCAATGAAGTCATATGTTACCGGTACATCTTTCAGAATGTATTCAGTTACTGCCGCCGGCTAAATCCCTACAAGCAGGGACTATTGGGTCACAGTAGATGGTGTGTTTGTTTGTTTGGTTGACATGTTGATGTACATGATCAAAGTTACCTCCAGAAAAATCTTGTCGTTTTTAACACATTCCTGAAAATAATGCATAAGGCCTTTATGATGGCCTTTGTCAGGTTGGACAATCAGATATATAAAGAATCTTATTGCACTTTTCTTTACTAACACGGAACATATTTTCTAGGCTCGCTGAGTCAGAACCCACTGAACAACAACACAACAATTGGCACTTGTAATTCTTCCATGAGTTACTGTTTATATTTTACTTATGGAAAATGAGCAAAAGGATCGTTTTCTTTTCTTCTGTATTACTTTCTAAGAGTTTTCTGTACGTTAATAATATTCTATGTCGTGAGTTTAGTAGTTAATACAGAGGCCAGGTGGTTCACAAAGCTGAGAAATATTCACCGTGTGAAGGTTTTAAGATTATGCCGCTCAGCTTTTTCCCTTTAACAACACAGCAACATCTATTCCCTTTCTTAAATCCCTTCACTGCCTAGATTAAAGTTGAATTGTCAATGGGTTTTATATTGTTGTTGTTATGTGCCGTGGAGTCAGTTCCAACTCACAGCGACTCTGTACAGGGTTTCCAAGGCTGTACATTTTTACGGGAGCAGGAAGCCTCATCTTTCTCCCGTGGAACAGCTGGTAGTTTCGAACTGCTGACCTTGTGGTTTGCAGCCCGATTTGTAACCACTACACTACCAGAGCTCCTGGGTTTTATATTACTTAATGAATAATTCACATTTTCAGAAAATTTTCTATACTTTGGTCTGTTTATGAACATTTTTGGATTTTGAGTGAATGCTCAGTTGTAAAGACTTAGCTGCTTCACTAAGTATTGAATTCAAGGTGTTAGGACACTAAGTGTCCTCCAGCCCTCAGAAACTTACTTTTCTTGTGTCTTGGCCATAGGACATGACCAGCCAATGCTTTAACCTGAGACCATCTCAAAGCTCTTCTTTGGTTTCCCCAGGTGTTTGAAGCTTATGGTCAAACTGAGTGCACAGCTGGTTGTACATTCACGTCACCTGGGGACTATACATCAGGTAGGCCTTTCATCTACTGCAAGTGCAGTGATTGGGAGAAGGTTCTAACTGAATAAGAAAGTATGAATCTAGGTAACTTTGGTGCTCTGAATTTGTATGGCAAATGTCAAGCTTGAGTTTTTGGCCTAGACCTGCATATTTTGACTGCCCCAGCATTGGTGCCAGATGATTTCTCAATCTTATACTTTTGGAGTGAATCCATTAATCGCTTATAAATATGCTTGGGAATATCCCTGTTTTATGGTCACCCATTGATTCAGTGTGGTGTGTTCCAGGACATGTTGGAGCTCCCCTGCCTTGCAATCACGTGAAGTTAGAAGACGTTGTTGACATGAACTACTTTTCAGTGAACAATGAAGGAGAGGTGGGTAGGTCGTGTTCTGTAGTTGTGTCCAGACAAGTATGATGGGAATGTTGACAACAGAAAGATCAAACAGTTGAAAGCAGGCTTGGGTTTGACTCCCTGGAGATTTGAGCAAGGAATTTAACATCTCTGCGCCTCATTATCCCCTAAATTGGAGACTCAAATCTGGTGTCCCTCATGCTGTGTGATAAAGACCAATACATGAGTGAAGGTGGGAGACCATGCTTTGTAAACACTTGTTCTGGGGATAGTGGTCTTTGTTGTTATTAACACCACTTTGTGATGTCTGCTGTGCAGATCTGTATCCGAGGCTCCAACGTGTTCAAAGGCTATTTGAAGGACCCTGAGAAGACGAAGGAAGCCCTGGACAATGATGGCTGGCTTCACACAGGAGACATCGGCCGCTGGCTTCCAGTGGGTATTTAAACTCTGCGACTCAAAGTCATTCAACCAGTAAGAATTATAGCAAGAAGGACTGAAAAATGAACCGGTCAATCAGCTGAAGAAGCTGGTGGGGATTAGGCCTACATCCTCCCGGGTTTGTGGTTTCCTCATATTATAGATGGAACACACTCTAGAAGTACCAAGGTTGGGAGTTGAACATGCATGTTCTAGTCCCAGCTCCTCAACGGATCAACAATGTGTTTCTGAGAGAATAACCAAATGTGCAATTAAGATCTGCCCAAATTAGAGTGATTTTCTGTCTCTTGGCCAGAGAGTCCTTTGGTTATATTGGTCACAAGACATAGACCAGTTGAAGTTTTTTATTTTTTACCTTGTTTTTGTTGTTGTTACTAAGTGCTGTCGAGTCAGTTCTGACTCATAGTAACCTTGTATAGAGTTTCTGAGGAGCCGCTGGTGAGTTTGAACCACCAACCCTGCAGTTCAAACTGCCTTATCCCACAGAGCCACTTCCAGAAGTATCAATGTTATTGGCAGGATTTCCAGATCCCGACTAAAATAGGATTCTTGTTAGGTCAGAAAGTCCTGGAGTCAGGGATGGAGTGCCCACTGATTACTGGGTAATCTGATGCTGCCTGGAGCTCTGAGTTGGCGTGGCTCCCTTGACATGCAATAGATTTGCTCATAGCCAAGTAAAAGTAGGTGACTTTTCTAATAAAAGGAGTGCAGGTGGCGCAGTGGTTAAAGCTCTCAGCTGCTAACCAAAGGTCAATGATTTCAACCCACTGGCTGCCCTGTAGGAGAAAGATGTGGCAATTGGTTTCCATAAAGATTTACAGCCTTGGAAACCCTCTACTCTGAATGAGAGGTGTGGAATTCTGTTCCTGTTCTTGTTTTTCTTTATCTTGAGGCAGATATTGTGATATGATAACTCCATGAGCCTACAGTTTTTGCCTTTTATTGGACTCAGAGGAATAGATTTCTTCATAGTTAATTTGCAGAGACACCAAAACAAGGTGGCAGAATTTCTAACTGAGGTATTTGCCTCTCAGGGATCTTCATAGACTCTCTGTGTCAGAGACATTTTCAGCATAGCTTGTTGATAAACAATGAGCAGTAGTCTCACCTGTTTTTCTAAGAAGACAGAACATTATTTCATGGTAGTGATAGAGTCTTAGGGCCACTAAAGGGGATTTTCCACAGGTCCCTCTTCTGGAATGATATCTTGGTCTTCCATGAGCTGGGGGAATATGAATGTAAACTACATCTTTTAACTTCTTTCCTGTTCAATATTCTCAAAATTTAAATGGCATTCAAGGAATTTCCATGGCAACCTTATATATACACAACAAAACAACACATTGTCTGGTCCCATGCCAGCCTCACAGTCATTGTGATCTTGGAACCCATTGTTGCCACGCCACTGTGTCAATCCATGATGTTGAGGGTCTTCCTCTTCTCATTGTCCCTCTATTTTACCAAGCATGATGTCCTTTTCCAGGGTTAATGTGTCCAAGATACGTGAGAGGAAGTCTTGTCATTCTGGTTTCTGATGGGCATTCTGATTATACGTCTTCCAAGACAGATTTGTTTGTTCTTCTGGCAGCTCATTCTTCCACATTCTTCTTCACCAACTCTATAATTCAAATGCATCACTTCTCCTCTAGTGTTCACATGCATATGAGGTGATTGATTATACTATGTTCTAGGACAGGAGTCCCTTAGCCCTCAAAATAACAACTTTGTTCCCTTAACATTTTAAAGAGACTTTTGTAGCAGATATGTCCAATGCAAAACAGTTGTTTGACTTCTTGACTACTGTTTCCATGAATGTTGACTAGGAATCCAAGTTTTAAAAAAAATCCTGACAACCTCAATCTTTTCTCCATTTATCATGATGTTGCTTATTAGTCCAGTTGTGAGGATCTTTTTTTTCTCCTGTACATTGACTTGTAATCCATACTGAAGGCTATATTCTTTGATCTTCATAATAAATGCTCCAAGACTTCTTCACTTTCAACAAGTAAAGTTGTTTATAATAAGAGTTCCCTGCTCTGACAGGCCTAGGAGGTAGTCCTCACACCAAGTTATTAATCACCTTTAGATAACATCTGAATTGAAGACTAATTTGTTGACGGTTTCAGGATGGTGCAGCCTGTTGAGCTATTTAGCATGTGACCATGTGGATTGTGTTTGCCACTAGTCCCAATTCTACAACTCAAATCCCTAAGAACTTTAGCTTCTCAGGCCAATTAACTCAGAGAAATGAAGCTGCAAATGACCTCTGGTATCTGGCCAGGGAGCCCTCCAAAGACTGCTTTCTGTCCTAACAAGCACACTTGTTGGCTTGCCTGATTAGCACAGTAAAGCTGTTTTTGCCTGTTCTGAGATCTGAACAGAGGAAGACAACAAGAAAAGTCAAGGAGGGGAGACCTAACTAACTCAAAAGTCTTTTGATTCCTGAGACTTCTGCAAAGGGAGTATTTGAAAAAATTAAGTTATTGAGAATGAACATTTCTGCAGAATTTCTTGGCTGGATGAAGCAACTATTTGTAGAACCCCAGCAGGTCACCAAAGTCATGATAGAGGCGGTCTCAGGAAGTCAAGTCCCCACTCTCTCCCAACTGACACCCCCCAGGTCTTAACAGCATGGATGTGTGTGTTTGTATCACGCAGAATGGTACTCTGAAGATCATTGACCGAAAAAAGAACATCTTTAAGCTGGCTCAAGGAGAATACATTGCTCCGGAGAAGATAGAAAATATCTACATCAGAAGTAGAGCAGTGTCACAGATTTTTGTACACGGGGAGAGCTTACGGGTAATGTAGCCTTTTGACAGCCATTTTCAGTCACAGGAAGTTGGTATAAGGTGGGTGGTTTAGGATGAGAGGAACCAAGCTTATCAAAACTAAACAAATGAAGCTGAATTCCAAAGCTTAAATAAGGCAATATAAATGAAAAACAAAAATCTCCCTCTAAAACTGTAATAGACTCTACAAAGAAATCAGTAGACTTACTGAATAGCTATTCTAGAGAGTTGTTGTTAAGTACCGTTAAGTTGGGTCCCACTTATGGTGACCATCCTGTATAGGGTTTCTGAAAAGTGGCTGGTGAGTTTGAACTGCTGACCTTACAGTCCTACGGCACTCCATTTTCAAGGGTTAGTATTGTTGTTAAGTGCTGTCGAGTCGGTTCAGACTCACAGCCACTCTGTATAGGGTTTCCAAGAAGCAGCTGGTGAGCTTGAACTGCCAACCTTGCAGTTCAAACTGACCTTGTAGTCCAGCGCATTAACCCGCAATGCTAAAGAAACGCCCCCGCCCCATTGCATTTAGTTTCCACTCAATAGATGTTCTCCTGGCACAACAAATCGTTTTCCATTATATTGATGTTCTTTGTTGCTCCACTCATGCCAACCTTGTATACAACAGAACTAAACCTTGCCCAGCCCTGGGCCATCTTCATGGCTGATGCATTTCTATGACCATTGTGTCAATGCATCTCATTGAGGGGTCCCTCATTTTCATGGACCCTCCTGTCATGACCAATGCAAACATGCTGTTAATATTATATAATTATAATCTATATAGAGTCCTGGCGTGGTGCTGTGAGATAAGCATGGGAGTGCTAACTACAAGATTGGTGGTTCAAACCCATTAGCCACTCCTCAGAAACTCTACATAGGGTCGCTACACGTCAAAACTGACTCGATGGCACTCAACAATTTCAATATTACTGAATATATTACATTGTATACAGGATATTATATTATGTATGTTGTTGTTGTTAAGTGACGTTGAATTGGTTCCAACTCATGTATTTATTAAGTGCTGTTGAGTAGATTCTGACTCGTGCAACCCTGTATAGGGTTTCCTAGGAGCATGTTGTGGTGAGTTTGAACTACCAACCTTTGAGTTCAAAGTGACCTTGAGGCTGAGCACTTATCCTACAGTGCCACAACAGGGATGTCTATATATGTATACAGATCTTAAAGGTTTTTTTTGTTTTTTTTTTTTGATGTGGGCAGGAGGAGGGGACAATTAGCAAGCCAGAGATGATTTAAGCTTAATTTTGAGCACCGCCTCTTGTAATGAGATGGTCAGTGGGGAAATGGAATTTGAGTTCTCCTGGGGTTTTAACTACAGAGTGAGAAGACAGTGGGATACTAGTGCTGAATATGAGGCCTCAGTCTGCTTTCTTCCCCTCTTGGGGCCACCTCCTGCTCGCTGCATCTCTCATGCACCCACATACCTTCTGTTTCTTCCCCATAGTCATCCTTAGTAGGAATCGTGGTTCCTGACCCAGATGTACTTCCTGCATTTGCAGCCAAGCTTGGCCTTAAGGGCTCCCTGGAAGAATTGTGCACAAACCAAGTAAGTCTTGTGTGGGAATGCACTCCCTCCACACGCCCTCGCTCCTGCCCAATTGAGCACTCATGGATCGTCCCCCCTCACCCTCTCTACAGGAGCGATTCTTTCTGTGTTTGGGGCAGGTGACTGCAACCCAAATGGAACCCCTTGGTTCCATTTAAGTAGAGGATAGGATATAAGATTTTAGAAAACAACTAGTCTCTTCATAGTTATCCATTCATTGTAAAGAATAAAAGAATGAGAAATGAAGAAATGAAAAATGTCATCCAGAGTCCCCTTGTTAACATTTAGATTGGGTCGTCTTCTCTATGTTTGGATCACTATTAGACTTCTAATGCGTTTGTACATACTTTCAGACCCAGTGTTTAGGGGGATGAACTTTCCTAGGCATTGTGGATGGTTGGTGCCTAGCTAGGCTCCCCCTCAGGTTCTTCTAACGTTTTGCATTCTCAGGTATTGCGGGACGCCATCTTAGAAGACATGCAGAAAGTTGGCAAAGAAGGTGGCCTGAAATCCTTTGAGCAAGTATGTAATGATGTTGTCCTAGACTCTTTAAGTCATACAAGAAGTTTTAATTAAAGTCCCTATTTACAATGGGGTTAAATCAATACTTTCCAAGGAACTGTTATTAGATTTTGTACCATTAACCAGTGAGACAGTGGCAGTGACCTTGTGCAGTTACAGTCTTTTGGACTCTTCACTGTACATCCTCCATTTTCATTTCCCCCTAATTGGTGGGTGAGGATGGACATGTTACCCTAGCCCTCCCACATCTTCAGCCCCACTTTCTCACGGTTAAACATCCTTTGATTGAAGGTCTGTATGTAGCTCTGTGCAGAAAAGTACAAATCACTTCTAAATGTGTGTGTGTTTATGTTCATCTTCTCTTCCAGGTCAAAAGAATCTTTCTTCATGCAGAGCCGTTTTCTATTGAGAATGGTCTCTTGACACCAACATTGAAAGCCAAGCGGGGAGAACTTTCCAAATACTTCCAGTTCCAAATTGATAACTTGTATGAGACTATTCAGGACTAGATAAAGGTACTTGGGGCCAGCTTGCCTGCTTACTTGCTGTCTTGTGGGGATATGGATTGAAAAAGTGCCTTTCTTTTGGTGTCCTTTCTCCTATCTGTTGATGATCTATTACACTATTAAACTGTATTAGGCTTTGTTTTTAATGTGAAGTGAGAAACTTTATAATGTGGAAACTTCGCCTGAACTAAATAAACAAATCCTGTCCATCCCATCTTACATTTTGCTATTAAAGTTGTAGGGTTATGCTAATCAACATAGGAGCCCTGGTGGCACTGTGGGTTAAGCACTGGACTGCTAACCACAAAGTTGGCAGTTCAAATCCACCAGCTGCTTCGAAGGAGAACGATAAGGCTGTCTGCGCCCATAAAAATGTAAAGTCCCAGAAACACTAAGAGGCAGTTCTACTCTGTCCTCTGGGGTCACTGCGAGTTAGAATTGACTTGAGGCAGTGGGGTTTTTCAGTCAAAATGCCCCTCTTTGAGGTCCCTTTTTGTATTGTTTCCCTTGTTCACCATCTCCAACCAATGTAATGTTTGAAGTTCTAGGGCCAGAGAGCGTGGTGACTCCCTTCTCGTCTTACATCAAACGAACATTCAGGCCTAACAAGGAAGACAACTTTCAGTTCTTAAAAGCTGTTAATAGTTCACAGGCTTTCTCACTACTTGACAAAACCACTACAATTTTGAGTTGTAACGATTTATCATTTCTATGCCAATCTTCAATTTACTGGTTATGTTGTTATTGTTAAGTGCTGTTGGGTTGGTTCCAACTCATAGCGACCCTGCATAGGGTTTCTGAGGAGTGGTTGGTGGGTTTGAACTGCCAACCTTGTGGTCTAATGCTTATCCTGTAGAGCCACACCAGAACCCCACTTCTATTAAGTGCCACCAAGTCGGTTCCAACTCACAGCAACCCGTATAGGGTTTCCCAGGAGTGGCCAATGAATTTGAACCACTGACCTTGTGATTCAAATGACCTTGCCATTCAATGCTTATTCTACAGTGCCACACCAGGACTCCACTGTGTGCATAGAGGCGAACATTTTGATTGTACTGAACACTGCCCAATTTTCTTGCTTCTCTAACTTCAAGTATTGGAAATTGAGCCTATGACTTGTCCAAAAAGGAATGTTTATGCTTCAAAATGTCATTCTTTAAGTGTTATCTCCGGTAGCAGCTGGTAACTCATTCTGTTCCTTATGATTTCTGCAGAGCTGGATGCTATGGGGCCCACGTTAAAATGCATGCCAAGTGCACTTTTCCCATCACTGAAGCAAGCAGTGACTCCAAACTCCCTGAACTGGGGACAAAAGCCTAAGGGCAAGCAGGGCATCTGCACAACAGACTGATCCATGAAGGAACCAACTGATCTGAGAGTTTTCTCCTCTAGACTCCAGCTCATGCTGGACCCTACCCCCTGGTTATCATGTGTTGCTTCTACATGTAAATGTAAAATCTTTATTAAAATAAACTATTGCAAATACTTGTACCATGGTGTTTATCTCCTCCTGCAGATGATGACAAAGAGGACTGCGTAAGAATCAAATAAACTGGTGTTTCTCAACTTTGCCTGCACAGTGGAGTTTCCTGGATGCCTTTAAAAATGCTGCTCCCGGGATCTCCCCCACAGCAGTTCTGAATTCCTTGCTCTGGGGCATAGCCTGGGCATCAGGTTAAGTCCCCAGGTGATTCTAGTGTAGAGCCAAGTTTAAAAATTACTGAAGTGAACTGTTAAAGATTGGATATGCCGCCCCCCCCCAGGTATGTACTGTAAATCCTAAGCCCTGGCTTCTAATAGGGATATGGAGAGTGACCCTGGACGGGCTTTCTAGTGAAGGCATGAGTTAATTGCAAGGTCCCTAGATAACCTATTGTCTCGTTATCATAGTTCCCCACTCACTTATTTTGGCTCTTCAGATGTGCTGGACACCCCTAACCTCAGTGTCTGCTCTAGTTCCCCCAGCCTCAGATACCCCTAGAGGCATGACCCTCATTTGCCTCAAAGTCACCTCCATTAAGACCGCCCCACCAGTTTTTTTTTTTTAATTCTCCATTTGAATGTATCTACTTGTCTTCTACACCCTTGTCTCCCCAAGACTGGGGCAGAGTCAAGCTTCATTTACTGTTGAATCCTGAGTGCCCTTCCCTTGTTCAGAACCTTAACCTAGCCCCTGAAGCTTCAAGTCCCCTGCCTTGGAAACAATGAAGGGAGGATATTGGAATAGGTTTCTTAAGTCCAGAAGAAAGGGCATTCTCTCCTTTAATTCTGCTGTGTTTAAGCAATCCTTAGTTTAAGTTTCCAGGCCCAACCAATTTGGATTCCATCACTTCTGCAAACTTCAGTTTTTAATACATTCAACTGGGTCTGAGCAACTGATTCACTCGATTGAAAAGCTCTGAGAGGCTGAAACCTCAGGATGCCATTTAAACCCAGTGCTGTTAAGTCATTCCTAACTCCCAGAGATCCCATGTGACAGAGCAGAACCGCCCCACGGGGATCAATGGCTGTCACATCTATGCAAGCCGACGGCCACCTCTTTCTCCTAGAGGGTGGCTTCAGAACCACTAACCTTTTTAGTTAGTAGCACTACCAGGTGTTCCCAGGGTAAATGTCTTTAAGACTCAAGATTCAAGATGTCAACTTGTCCCAGAGTTGTAGAGCTGAGTTTTTTCTTTAAAGAACTAAGACAGCCTTTTCATCAGCAAAAAGAAAAATGCTTTGTGCAAAAACCATGATTTATACAGAACATCCATTGATCTTTATTTGATTTGACAAAATCTGCATTATTAAAAGACAGGTAACAAAATTTGCACTTCTATTGAATCTGACAACTTAAATTCTCTAGTCTGGAATCAGAAGTCATCAGCTGAGGGGGAGGGAAGAGTAAAAGCATCCTATGTAGACACTCCTGGCAAGGGGCACTGTGTCTGCAGGTGAGGCCCACAGTGCGCAGCGTACAAGAGAACTCGAGAGAAAGCGCAGTGAGTGAACTTACTGCGCCGAGAGCTTCCCCTTGCACAGGAGGGAAAGGTGACAAAGAGGGGAGGAATTCAAAGGTAGAGCGAGAATGGCTTCTCCATTTCAAAATGGTCATACAAATGTTTAAATCATGGCACTAGGGCACCTTGGAAGAAAAGAACACTTTAACCAGAATGGGTTCATTGCATAATTCTTTAGTAATATGTACAATTTTCAAGTAATGGAGGGGGCTTGGAGATGACTTTACTTTCAATGGGACTATCTGTTTTTCTTCTCGCCCTCTGGAGCTTGATGGGTTTCGGCATCACAGGGAAACTTCTCCACGCACTTCCGAGGGAACCATCCCCTTATTCTTGAAACACCTGAGGGAGGAAGTGAGACTGAAGTAAAGTAGTCAGGTATACATATGAATGTTACTGAGACTGAAGTCCCACTACTTCCAACTAATACAATTGTAGACTATTTTCCCCCTTTACTGTCTCTTCTGAGCACAAATTAAGGGGAACAAATTATTGTTTTTAAATGCTCCTAGTAAGTTACAAAGTGGATACCTCTCAAACCCCACTACCTGAGAAAGGGGCTAACGTGATTCAGGACAGTCCCAGACAGAGGCCAGAGGGAGGTTCCATGAGTATTCATTCACTCACAGTTGTGGTCATGAAGGGGTGTTGGTACACCACTGCACTGCAACTCTTCCTGGTAAGCAACAAGGGAGCTTCAATTAAGTCCATTTCCCCAAGAATTTTTGAAGCCCCCTCGTATCTCCCTGTAGCGTGGTGAAAGCTCTTTTTAGGCTTTTTGTAATATTTACGTTTCTAGATCAAGGTTGCCTCAGCCACCAGAAGGAGGTTAGCTTATGATTAACCTGGTGTGGTTTTAAAAGGGCATTCTGGATTACTCTTGACTTGAAAAAAGAAACAATTCTACAACTTTAGCAAAATCGAAGGCAAAATTCCAATGCTTTAGGTTTTATAATGAAGAGGCACATCCATACAAGAGGGAGCTGCTACAGTGCAGAGTGAAAACACAGGCTCTGAGGGCAGACTCTGGGTGGAGTCCAGGCTCTGCCGATTTTCAGGCTTTGGGCAAGTTGCCTGGTGTCTCTGAGCTTTCAGCTTCCTTACCAGTGCAATGGAACTGGGAAGACCGAGGTTACAGGGCTGCTGGGGACTTCAGTCCCACGAGTCAAAGCACTTACACATGTAAATATGAGCTCAGGTGTTAGCAATCATCACAGGAACCTGAAAGCTGCAAATCTTAAGAGAAATACATATGGAGTTTCTTTTCGATTCTTACTGCCTTGCCCTGCTATATCTAGCTCACTAATGCAATTGATATGTGGCTGTTCACAAAAGTGATTCTTGTAGAATTTGGAACTATTATTAGCAATCTTGCCCTTTTAACATCCATTTCCATACCTTCTATAAACGAATCGTCAAGAATTTTGTCTCCATACAACCAGTATCTGAAATATTTAAAAGATTAAAAATGAATTTCTTTTAGGCTAAATGGCCACTTTGTCATTAAAGAAGGAATCTGGCCCTTCGTGTCACTTACCGTAAGCCTCGTGTGGCTAAAATGAGCTCCCCTTTCTGTAGCCTTATGCGAGGTTCTTCCGTACAAGGGCTTGTAAAGAAGGTTTTGATTCCTTTATTCACAGGACAGCAGGCTCCACTGTAATCTTCTATGACTTTGTAGCGAACCTGTGGTTAATGACCAAAAGAACAATTTGAGGATTTACACATAATACCCAAGTTTTAAAATTTCAATTAAATTTTAGACAGTGAGTCCAAACCATCCAGTGATAAGTCACCTTCCTTTTCAGTTCCCAGCCACCCAGTCCCCTTAAGGGTACACCAAGGATTCCTCTTCTCAAGGTTTTTTACAATCCTTCATTTCAAGCACAGAGCTAAGAATGAATGAGACACAGGGCTGCGCAATAGAATCATCTGCAGCGATGGGTGCGCTTTGACTCTGCCATCCAATGTGGGACCCGTGGCTAGTGCAGCGGAGGGACTGAAGCTTTCCTTTGATTTGATTTTAGGTCATTTTAATTGAAATAGCTGCATGTGCCAGGTGGCCATCGCATTGGACAGCAGAGCTGGAGAAGATGGGTTTCATACCAATGATGTGTATTGAGGATAGTTATTTTTCTATGTTGGCAACAAAGGTTGACTAAATTCCCTCTGAATCTCCAGCCTACATTATTCAAATGAAAAGAATAGTGAAGTGGATTGCAACGTATTTCAATGAATATATATTAAGGCATTATTTAACAAAAGCCAGCCACTGGTTTCTATTCAAAGGCAATGAAAAAACACAGACAGAAATGCAGAGCCTGAGAAGAGGAAAAAGAAATAGTATTACTGTAAAATTACTTACACTTCTGACTCTCTTATCTGCTTTTTGTTTCAGCTGTTCTATCTATTTGGAAGAAATGAAAAGAAAAAATAAGGCAATTATTAAACTATTGCAAAACACTGCCTTTCCTCACCTACTGTGAAGGACAAGACAAGCTCCCAATATTCTAACATTTCAAATTGTTAAAGGACCCATGTTTCTTAGCATAGATAGGAGCTCCTATGCCCAAGAACCTGAGGCTGAGAGTGGCACTTTCTTCCCAGTACCCACTCTAGTGTCTCATCTGTGTATATTCAGAGAACACCCACTGTGGCCCAGGACGAGGGAGACAGGCTCTGTCCTGATGCAGCCTCCAGGGGAGTGGCTGAGGCGAAGACTCTGGGATTCAGACATGGCAGACTGAGCGCACACTTGTTACAAATGAGTCTTGAGTAAAGTCAATATTACAAGTCACTTCATTGATTCAGCGACTGATCTATTAGCAGTCGTACAATATCAGACACAGTAGGGAAAACAAAGAAGGCACATGGTCCCTGTTCTAGAACCTTGTCATTAAAGACATGCTATAATAATTGTATCAAAGCATAAGACTTCATGCTGTAGTATATGACTAAGCATCAAATTCAGATGAATCAAGTTGGTAGGCTGCACTTTATGAAAGAAGTGGGATGGGAATGGTGTTCATTGCAGACAGAATAGAGGTCATGGGACAGAAATAAACCAGGCAATCATGTGACAATGAATGGTGCCAGACTAGTCTGGTTGGAAAGGAGTCCTGTTAGAAAGCAAAGTGGAAGTAGTTTCCAGCCATATTTTATATAAGTAAGCAAAGGAATCAGGAGTTTCTCTCACAGGCCTGGAGAGTTAAGGAGCAATGTAAATGAGATAAGGAATGGTTTATGTTACTAGATTTAGTCTGTCATCTGGACATGCTAGGAGTTAACTGGGAAGACAGGGAGACATAACGGAAGGTCTAGCTGAAAACAAGACTCACTGTTAAGCTGTACTGGTGACAGCCTGCTCTTATTGGCCACTCCAGTCCATCTCCTTCAGGGACTCCTGACCACGTAAATACCTGTTTAAAGTTCTTCCATCTACTTCCCAAATCATAAGGAAAAAGAAACACTTCATCCAGCTGATAATACTGAATTCGATCTTTAGCCTGTGGGTATCAGATAAATGCAAATGCCTTAATGCCTTGGTCTTAAGTGGCTGTAATTGATCATACTTACTCCCAATTTATTTCATAAGAATACTTCCTCCTTGTTATAATATTAGTGTACAGCGAAGAGATGGACACGTTTATCACAATACCAACCTTGTATGTCATCATCCAGAAAATGTCTGACAGAGCTTAATAGAAATAATGTTGAAAACTCTTATTAAGATTGCTAACTTTACTCCAGAGAGTAAACTCTTCGATGCTCCTGTTATTTGGAAGTACAAGAGTCAACGATGGGCTGTTGGTAATAAGCAGCTGTAAGGAAAAGCTAAGGTTTACCCAGAGTACAAGTGCTCCCTGTACACTGAACGCCACGGCTGTGTGCTGGGTAGCGGGGATACACGGGGACACAGAAAGCAGAGGGGTGACAGGTGTGTTCAGAAGACCTTTTTCCATTTTCCAAACATTATCACACATGTGTGCAGGAGTCCTGGTGGCGCTGCAGGATAAGCACTGGACCGTAAGGTTGGTGGTTTGAACTCGCCAGCTGTTCCTTGGGAACCCTGTACTTGGTTGCTATGAGGTGGACAACACTTAACAACAACAAATATTCAGGTTGCATATACGATGTTCTAGGCATTGAAACTGCTAGTAAAGGAAATAAATTGGTTTCAAATTTCTTAAGTTCCACTGACACCTAGTGGTAGAAAGATAAATTATTTTTTCCTATGCAACATGTGGAGTCCTGGTGTGGCACTGTAGGATAAGCACTGAACCATAAGGTCGGTTTGAACCAGATGACTTGACTAATCTGGTGGTGGTGTTGTTATGTGCCATGGAAACCCTGCATAGGGTTTCCGAGGCTGTAAATCTTTACGGGAGCAGAAACCTCATCGTTCTCTCGTGGAACAGCTGGTAGTTTCAAACTGCTGACCTTACAGCTTGCAGCCCAATTCGTAACTACTACGCTACCAGAGCTCCTTTGACTAATCTGGTAGTAAAGTTGTTTTTTGAAGTTGAGAACAAAAATGCCCCATTGCCAGAATTTCCTGAACACCCTTTCCAAGAAGAGCAATGTTAAACAACTTTATAAAATAGTACCCATTAAGGATATTAGGAGTCTTTGTGGGATATTTCCCATACCTGATCTTCAGAAATACTACAAATCAAACCCTTGCCATTATCTTGGTCATCTCATTGAGCATGAAGGCCCTGGAAGTCTATTAGCTGAACTGAAATCAAAGGGCTGGGTAGATACTCTTGTTGGTGGACAAAAGGAAGGAGCCCAAGGTTTTATGTTTTTTTATCATTAATGTGGACTTGACTGAGGAAGGATTACTACATGTTGAAGATATAATTTTACACATATTTCCATACATTCAGAAGTTACATGCAGAAGGACCTCAAGAGCGCACAGCCTTGGATGCTGCTGCGTTCAGATTTAAAGACAGAGAAAGGCCCCGGGATTGCACACGTCAGATAGCAGGAATACTGCAATTGTATCCTCTAGAAGAAGTCCTCACAGCTCACTGCTTGCTGGAAGAATTTCGACCTGATTTCATAGAGATGGTTCTCAATAAGCTCAAACCAGACCATGTTCGGGTTGCAGTCATTTCCAAACCGCAAGGTCGGAGGTTCAAACTCACCAGCCGCTCCTTGGAAACCCATACAGGGTCACTATGTGTGGGAACCAACTCGATGGCACTTAGTAACAACATGCAACATGTAAGGAGCTTTGGTAGCATGGTGGACTACCAGCTGGGCTGCTAGCCGCAAGGTCCGCAGTTGGAAACTACTAGTCTCTCTTTATGGGGCTTTCTGCTCCCATAAAGATTTATAGCCCCAGAAACCCTAGACCCCAGACAGGGTTGCTTTGAGTTGGAACCGACTCCATGGCACAACCATCACCACCACCATACAACATGCACAAACTTAGATACCCAGGTGAAATCTGTTGTATAAACCTTCAGTTTGATAATTTCTACAAATCTCACAGAATTTTTTTTTACTTAGCAAAAGAATGCCAATTTAAAATAACTACTAGATTTCACATGACATTTATAAACATTTTACATTAGCAAAACAAAAAAAGTTAATGAATGTTAACATCTTATTATCAGAGGACAATATTTTGGTGAAAAGTTTCCTGCAGGTATTAAGATATATTAACTATTTATAAACAGCATTCTCAAGCGGTAACATGTATGGGCCTATTTAATTATCTAATTCCATCCACACCCAGGCAGGAAAGGTTAGACTTTCTTTTCCCTTTTCACAAAACAGGAGCTTTGAGGTCTAAGGTAGTCAGTCTCAGCGAACAGAAAAGTACATTCTATTTATAATGCACAGCTGATAAGGGTGAGAGTGGTTTACAGAAATGACTTTAACATGGTCTTAGCCTAAGAGGAGCGCTCAGTGAAGGGGGGCGGAGATTCTCCCATCATTACATGGACGGGAAAAGATATCAGGCACAAAGAGAACGAAGAGTCTTCTAGACAGAAGGAACAAGTACAAAGGTACAGAAGCACAAAGTGAACTGCTTGGTAATACTTGGTGTGGAGGTTGTGAGGCCTAGGAAACCTTACATGATGTCTAAAGTACTAAGACAGACTTGAATGCAGCTCGGTAGGATGGAGGTTGCTTCTCACACCAGTCGCCTTCTCCTCCAGGCTGAGAGCACATGTGGCAATAGGCCTCCCCAGTAACTCAGGCTTTGTGAGGAGTAGATTTCTGCAGCAGTTGTATGAAACTGGGGATGGCACAAAACGCAGCATATGAACAACTCAAGGGAGTCATTTGATAGCCAAGTTTTCCCTTGGAGACAGTTCGGTTGAGTGACTAATTTAGGCTGATTGACTAATTAATACTTTTTTTTTTTAAAGATTCAGTAACAAATTATTAAAATTTACCTTCTCTTCAATCCATGATTCAATAGAAGTTTTGTTTCTGAGAATTATTTTCATCTGGAAATTAAATGAGAGAGAGCAAAACTGAGTAATGTGACTTCGGTTCATTTAATATCATCACCTCACAAGAACCCAAAGAGATGGCTTGTTGCTCCATCCCCTAACGGGGAAACACAGCGAGGATGCAGTGAAGCTGGGGCCACTGGTGCAGGCCCGCCGGACCACTGCTCCCGGTCACGGCACGACAGCACAGCTCTCAAGTCTGAACCGACTCTTTTCATCAAAAATCATGTCTCACGTAATATTTCTGAACCAGGTTTTGAGAGTAGTAACGCAACAATGATATAACATAATTAGTACTTACGTGCATTTTCCGATTTCTAATCTCTTCTAATTTGAATGAACTATTTTTGAGTTTGTGACTCATCTATTACAAACAGCAGTGACTCTATTACAAGCCAGCAGCCCAGCATTCCTGATGAGGAGAGTTTTGCGTTTCCCTGGAAGCTCTCTGCGCCTTAGAAGTGACAGTGCACACAGACTAACAGGAACAGTAGTAACAGCCCGAGACAAGGAGTCCTCCTCAGATTCCAAAGGCCTAGCACAATGGCTGGCCCACAGCAGACTGTCAATCAGTGGAGGAATGAATGGAGTGAAGGACTGAGTCAAAAGAAGTGCTTTTGGTCCTTTCAGAGTCAGATCCTCCTCTGTGTTCTCATGTTATGGTTGGTAAGTGGCGTCAAGCTGGTTCCAACTCATAGCAACCATGCATAAGGTTTCTGAGGCTGTAAACCTTTATGGAAGGAGCTCTGGTAGCATAGTGGTTACAAGTCAGGCTGCTAACCTCAACATCAGCAGTTCAAAACTACCAGCCATTCCATGGGAGCAAGATGAGGCTTTCTGTTCCTGTAAAGATGTACAGCCTCAGAAACCCTATACAGGGTTGCTATGAGTCAGAACTGACTCCACGGCACATAACCACCACCACCACAAAACCTTTGTGGGAGCAGAAAGCCTCATCTTTCTCCCATGGAGAGGCTAGTGGGCTTGAACTCCCAAACATGTGGTTCAGAGTCCGGTCCTCATCCTACCGAGCCACAGCACTTTACAACCCCTTCATCACATACAAGGAGCCCTTCAAACACACCAGCAGCTCCATGAGAGCAAGATGTGGCAACCTCTCTAAGGTGTACAGCCTTCGATGATGTACAGCCTCAGAGACCCTACCAGGCAGGTCTACTCTGTCCAAGACGGTTGCTCTGAGTTAGAAGTCAGCTTCATCGATACTTAACGGTTTCTGTATACTAACTCAGATATGAATAACTAATTACTTGTTGTTAAGTGCCCTTGAGTCAGTTCCGACTCATAGCAACCTACATAGAGTTTCCAAGGAGCAGTGGGGAAGTTTGAACTGCCCACCTTGTGGTTTGCAGTCCAGTGCTGATGCTACAGTGCCACACCAGGAGTCCACTGTCTGGGAATACTGATGAGTTACCTAAAGGCAAGACCCTCTTGGGTTTCATTCCTGAAGCCTCAGTCAACAGCAGAGGAATCGTCCTTGGGTAGTACTGAATCCCATCTAGATGGTAGGGTTTCTATGGAGAGTCAGTGAGATGATAATATATGCCAAGGACTAACACAATAGTCAAAAAATACTAGCTGAATAGATAACTGTGTCACCTTGAGTAAGTTATTGAGCCTTTCTGAAAGTTAATTAGGAAAACAATCATGCCTCTATTACCTTTTTGGGGTGTTGATACGAAGATCAAGAGAAATGATACACAAGGGTGTTCTCAATTTTAAGGTACTATCTAACTCTTTGTTGTTGCTGTTAAGTGCTATTGAGTCAGTTTCTGACTGATAACGATCTCATATACAGTTTCCGAGGAGCAGTTGGTGGGTTCTGAACTGCCAACCTGTCCACTAGCAGCCCAGTGCTTATCCTACAATGCTACACCAGGACTGTTACTACACTATCTAACTCTGGTGGTGGTGGTGGTATGCCATGGAGTCAGTTCCAACTTACAGCGACCCGTATAGGGTTTCCGAGGCTGTAAATCTTTACAGGAGCAGAAATCTTCATCTTTCTTCCACAGAACAGCTGGTAGTTTCGAACTGTTGACCTCATAACTAGCAGCCCGACTTGTAACCGCTACGCTACCGGAGCTCCTTAAATCAGTTCTTTACTATCTCACTGTAAATCAACATTTAAAAATTAAATCAATTACCTACAAATTCTGGCAAAATTACTTTAATTATCCATCTAGTACAGAGAAGATGACATTAAATTATGCAGATGGGCTAAGCAAAGTCATTTCCATTTCATACTGCATGTTTACACACAGCCTTTGTTTCTCATTACAATCAGCCCTGGTCACATGACTGTTTTTGGCTAGAGGTAATGCGAGCCATACCTGGATAAAAAACAGCATTCCAACAGCTATGGTTGTTCCGATAGCTAATCCCAAGGCAAACAAGGTGGCGGCAAAGGCAGCTAATCCAAAAGGAACAATTGGAAGTGGGTCCCTCCGGGCTGCGCTCATGTCGATCTTGACCGTGTTCCACCCAAAGGACAGCTGCGGATGACAACACAACTGCGGTACTTGGTTATGATCAGGCTTGTACACAGTCTTAAAAGACTGAGGATTGTTGCCAACATTTACAAATCAGAAGATTTCACAAACACACATACATCTCACAGATTTTTAGATTTCTCTCGAGTAACTGGAAGATCTAGTATCATGGGGCCTAATGCAATTTCTTGAAGACCATCAAACACCAAACTCTGGATGAAGGTATCATCTCCGTGAAGCATGCGCCTGCCACTGTCAAAGTTCCCTTAAGCCTGTACTCTTTACTTACCTTCTGGGCTTTTCCAGGGACTTGAATTTGTGACCTGTGAACTTTGTCACATGACCACTTGCCCTTAAGTCAACTTGTTCCCTTGCTGGTTTAATCTGCTTACATTCTAGGGCATGGGTCTTCTCCACAGTCACCTTCCAGGGTGCTGCAGTTAGAAATGGACAAACAGAACTACAACGGGCCACATGTGGTGGACGGAAAGAGAATGCCCTGGTGGGGTCATTGTCGCCTTCAGTGTTCTTCCCTCTAACTCTTCTTACAACAGCTACGAATGTGGAAATCTAATTAATTCCATAACTGTACACTGTTGCTAAGTGACATCGAGTTAGCTCCGACAACTCCTAGCGACCCTGGACAGGGTTTCCCAAGGAGCGACTGGTGGCTCTGAAAGGCCCACCTTGTGGTTAGTAGGCCAGTGCTCCGTAATTGTATGAGGGAGCTTCAAAAAGTGCATGGAAAAATGGAAGTAAAAGATAAAAAGTTTCTACAAACTTTTTGAAGCCCTTTTGAATATTTTATACACACACACTCTTGTAAACATGTACAGTCTCAGAATCCCTAAGCAGTTCTTTGTGTACTGCAGGATTGTTCTGAGTAGGAATCAATTTCAAGGGAGTGGGTTTGGTTTCCTAAATATATATACATATATATATATACATGTATCTACACACACACACACAGATATATATATATATATATAGCCAGAGAATCCAACATTAATCCTAGAAAAATCTGCTTTGCAATCAATTCATCAAAGCTGCAGTAAGTATGCTTTTCCTGTCCTGTCAGAGCTATTTGCTTATTTAGAAGGAGAAAATAAGCAGACAAATAAGAAGGGCTAAATAACATTCTGCTATTTATTTGCAAATATGTA